ATGTATCTGCCACGGAGAATGACAATGAAGATCTTTAAAATGAGAACTTAATCAATGTCAACAGTTCTGAAGCACCAAGCATCAAGTACATATATACATGTAGAGATAATATTAAGAGAGGCATTGTATTTAGGGGAAGGGCCTGTTGAACAAACAATGTGCAATCCCCAAGGTTGATAACTGTTTTTACATTATGAGAATGAATGTTCATCCGTCCGGAAAAGTTCATTTTGAAGTATTTGAAGGTTATAGGTCCGTGTTAGATGAACCTATAATACTAATATCTTCATAATGTTTTTACATTGATCATGGATTAGGAGAGTTTGAGAGATATGTGTTTGTATTATGGCGTTTTGGGTTTACTTGGTTGTTGGCCTTGCGGCTGTTCCGTTGACGCTTGTACATATTTTCACATTAGGCCATAAGAAGTAGATTCTTTGTTTTGCGTCCCCTTGCTTGCACGATTTTGAGTAAATCAGAAAAAACAAACACATCCAAATAGCAATCACAACGGTCTGAAAGTACCATCGCATTTCGTTCAATCAGAATCAGATGAAATGACGGAAAATTTGATGTGCCTCAAAATTGACAGTGTTATTGATTATTTTGGCATACATTGTTTATTTTCTTATTTTTGCCCTTGGATAATAGCTATATGTTTAAATATGTTGTATAAAATGTATAGATATGTGTTTGTAATCACTACAAATTGGTATGTCATACCTTTTTATGCCCTTGAAATGTATTCATTTCTCAGCAAACAAGTTTGTGTTTTCTCTTGAGTTTGTGTTTGTTTTCCTTGTACCCGTGCATGATTTGAATTTTGCCAGGACGCAAAACAAAGAATCTACTTCCTATGGCCTTATATATTTCATTTAACTGATAAATCATTGTTTGTATTTTAATGAATATTCCGAGTCTCGCACTCATACCGAGTTAATGTCAGGGTGTACTTTGATGAAATTTCATGATCATGTGCTTTTTTAGATAAACATCACTCACATACACCATCTACACCTTTCATTCTTGCACAAAAGATGCATTTGTGTACCTAGACTATTAATTGAGGGTTGATAATTCTTCAGAATGGTTGAATAACTAGAATATTCAGTGGTTTACTTTTCAAAATTTCAAAACAATTGCAACATGCACCATGGCCTTAAAGTAATTCCGTATGCTTCTTATTTGGGCCCCATGTTATTTAAAGGAACACATTACACTGTCACTTCATGGTTTACATCTTTCAGTTTTGAACGATTATTACATAAACATACCTAGATTGTTGAAACTCAACAAGTAGGCCACGGAGTTTTCTAAATGTCCATATGATATGAAAAAATAACATCTGTGTACTCTCTGTGCAAAACTGAAGACCAAGTATGGAATGAGTTATGTGTTCCCGAAAATAACACTGGATGATTCCAATTAGAAAGCCGTTAACATTTTAAACATACAGCTTTGGGATCCACAGTCTCTATTATCCATTGGAATAAAGATCTCACAAAATTAATGAAAATGTACATGACAACTGTACCTTAGATCCATAAACAGTCGATATTCGTAGAGCCATTGAGAACATGGTAGCGGGTATTCAGTAATATTACACTGTTATAACAAGTCGTTGATCGATAGTAATCCACGAAATTGATTTTATTCAGTCTAGTATTTGGATGAATCATACGCTATAATGTACCATCTGTGTGAAAGATGCACTAGTATACACTCCGAGGCAATGGAAACGCATAAGTTTATCAAACCAAAAATAAGCAATCGAAAGACAAAGTGATACATTGGGCTATAATTACAAAATATGTGATAGGGAACTATAACCATAAATGTATCAACGTGTAGTGATTCCCTCAGTAGTCAGTATTGCCACCATTCGTGATCATTTATACATCGGCATAAGCTTATGAAGCTACTTAACTGCCCTCTTTTAAAGCAACAGGTATATATTTTATCAAGAACTCTTGGAACTGTCATTTGTGATACCGGTTTATGAATGAATTAAGATAGTAACAGAGTGAGTATAATGCTCTTTGGTGAATCGGTGATTTCTCTCCATTAGAGACGTCAATCTGCACGTTTTGAAGACAACTTGTACGTGAACATGTATATTTATTATCTTCTAAGAATTACTCCTCCCCTTCGTATGTAGAAGTTATTTGATGTTATGTGAAGGTACGAATGGTAAACAGTTGTACATGTAATTTGGTCCACGGAGATGAATAAGTCGGGGGCAGTAATCTACGAGGGTCACAATATTACACGTTCACGTATTAAACCTCCATAATGTAAAGTGTCCTAGAACGTGCTTAAACAGACTAATGTTTTTAAAATACTAAGGATTTGAATACAGTAAATAGAATTATTTTCTTATTTTTTCCCTTTAGATTCATAATTTAGGGAATATGACCATACCACTAGCATGCAGAAAATTTAAACATATAACTCCAAAGATTGGCAATAACGCCATCATAATACGAAACTGAATTTAATCGATTTAATCGGCATTTACGTTAAACGCATTGTTTTTCTATTTCAGACGAGGTTCGCACTGGTACGTACCGCCAACTGTTCCACCCCGAGCAGCTTATCACTGGTAAGGAGGATGCCGCCAACAACTACGCTCGAGGTCACTACACCATCGGTAAGGAGATTGTCGACCTCGTCTTAGACCGCATCAGGAAGTTGGCCGATCAGTGCACTGGTCTTCAGGGATTCCTCATCTTCCACTCCTTCGGTGGAGGTACCGGATCTGGATTTACCTCCTTGTTGATGGAGCGTCTCTCCGTTGACTACGGAAAGAAATCCAAGCTAGAGTTTGCAGTCTACCCTGCTCCTCAGATTTCCACCGCTGTTGTTGAGCCATACAACTCCATCCTCACTACCCATACCACCCTCGAGCACTCCGATTGCGCTTTCATGGTCGACAATGAGGCTATTTACGACATCTGTCGACGTAATTTGGACATTGAACGACCAACTTACACTAACTTGAACCGTCTGATTGGTCAGATTGTAAGCTCCATCACTGCTTCTCTGCGTTTCGATGGTGCCCTGAACGTTGACTTGACAGAGTTCCAGACCAACTTGGTACCCTACCCTCGTATTCATTTCCCCCTGGCCACATACGCTCCGGTCATCTCTGCCGAGAAAGCTTACCATGAACAACTGACTGTTGCTGAGATCACAAACGCTTGTTTTGAACCGGCCAACCAGATGGTGAAGTGCGATCCCCGCCATGGCAAATACATGGCTTGCTGCATGTTGTATCGTGGTGACGTTGTCCCAAAAGATGTCAACGCAGCTATTGCTACTATCAAGACCAAGCGTACCATTCAGTTCGTCGACTGGTGCCCAACTGGTTTCAAGGTCGGAATCAACTACCAGCCACCCACCGTCGTCCCCGGAGGTGATCTCGCCAAGGTCCAACGTGCCGTATGCATGTTGAGCAACACCACCGCCATCGCTGAGGCCTGGGCTCGTCTTGACCACAAGTTCGATCTCATGTACGCCAAGCGTGCTTTCGTCCATTGGTACGTCGGAGAGGGTATGGAGGAGGGAGAGTTCTCTGAGGCCCGTGAGGATCTGGCTGCCCTGGAGAAAGACTACGAAGAGGTCGGTGTTGATTCCGTTGAAGGAGAAGGAGAAGAGGAAGGAGAAGAATACTAAACACTCCATTCTCCAAAGTGAATTTTGTGGACATTAAACTTAAAAGGAACGTTTTCAACAGTACAATTAATTGCCAAAAAGACTCTCTGTGCTCAACCAACTCAGAAAATATTAAAAGTACAAAGTCTACTACCTACTAGTGACCTCTATAATAATGAGGTTTACTATAACTTCAATTCCAATTTTATAGTGATATTTTTGTAATCTAATTATTGAATCTCAAATAAAGTTGCAATTCTATAGAATGGTGTCTCTATGTGAACAATATTATAAAATAAAGAAATATTCATACAAGGCAGAATAGAGTTATCCAATTTATGATACCGACCCTTTCATTCAAATGTATGAAAAATTGATTTATTTGATTTATCGAACCCCTAACATGATTTCAACATTTTATAATTTTAACATGTTTAGTTTGCGAATTGGTCAGTTGATATGTGCTTTGATGTTCGAAAAAAGGGCAATATATGGGCAAGGTTATTCGACTAAGTACAGGTGTATGCTTTAAACATCTTTAAAAAATTGAGGTGGATCGATCGATGTTTTACTTTTGAACGTATTGGAACTTCTTCATGGTATATTTTGTTGACAGGTTAAGGATTTCGGCAAAACCTTCAACAATTAAAATCCGCTGGTCTATCCGATCGTGTTGATAAAGGATTGGTATCGATACGGTGAACTGAGTTCAACAATGTTTTTCTCTTAAACCAATTCTTGAAAACATTCTGTAAAACAGGGTATTTTATGTAATGTTGACTGATCGACATCAATTCCAATGCGAAAATATTTATATATATTTTATATAACTGTTTTTGTTAACATTTTTTCTTTTTTAGTGAAATTGGTTTTTTTCCTTTTTACCAATTGTTGAGAGTAAAATAACATATCTTTCCGAAGCTTGTTGGAACAAAATTGCATATACAATATTTTCTTAGACCTCACAATATACAAAGGAATACAAAGGAAATTCTGGTTAAAACAAAAAAATAGATAAAAATTAAGATAAACATTTTATTTCAAGATACTTTTTTTCAATCAACCAAACTTTCCTTTGTATAATAATTGAGAGACCTAAACACGTTGTGTTCATATTATTTTGTTTCAATGAGGTTCGGATAGATGTTTCATTTCATTCCGAACATATGATACCAAGAAAAAAAGAAGTGTCTAATATGTATTCTAAAACAATATAGAGAAAAGTTTATATATTAACTTCAAATTATATTGTTACCATTCAAAAGATGATCATTGTATTGACAATGTGTAAAATTTTCAGAATTTTTTGATGACTGGCTTAAAAGAAACGTGTGTTCAAAAAGTTCACCATATCGATACCAATCCTTTGTGTGTCCCCCAATTATAGTTATGCGACCTTGACCCCAAATGACCATTTAATATTGATAGAAAAATCTTTATTGGCAGCTGTGATAGATTGTTTTACAAAATAATATCACTGATATGTATTTTAATATACAAAAAAATAAATGAACCGGATTGTCAGTTTTGTTGGCAAGATACATGTTTCATTGTTGCCAAGGCAACACCAGTAGCTGCATCAGCGCCTCCACCAGATACAACTTTTACATCGTAGAGGGTTTCGAATTCCCGACCCAGAGCAGGGTTCTTAGAGAGTGCCGTTCCGACACCAATGACTCGATCAATTGATGCTGCCCGCAGGTCATCACGTGACATCATACTATAGAGGTTGTTTATAACTCCTTTGCACAAGGCACGATATACGCTACCAAGGCCTATGTTGCCAGTGGTGATCCCCTCTACTGATGCATTGTGATTGGGATCGTGGCGTTCGCCGTACAGCGTTGGCTTGATGTTAAGATTGGTATCAGGGCTAGTCTCACCAAGAGATGTAACCTTATTCCAAATTTCACTTTGCGGAATGCCATTGATGCCTACGATAGAGTAACACGGAAACGTTTGAAAAGGTGCAAAGGACAATATACGAGGCAACGAGAACGAGGAATGCATACTGACAGAACATATTCATATTCACAAGACTTCAGGAAAAATGATTATCCGATGCATTACCTAAATCATGTATCCATTGTTGCAGCATTTTCACGAACGCAGCCAACGCATTCCCTCCTGTTAAACTCGCTGCCACGGCGATAAAACGTCCCTCAAAGTACGGAACATGCGTCACCGGATTAACCTCAGCGACATCTTTGTTTGGTGGCACGAATCCATCCGGCATACAATATGCAAGTTGAGTTGATGTGGATATATTTAAAGCTGAAAGTAAAGCATAGCTGGGAACTGAAAATGTAACGTATTACGTAACTGTTAGCAGTTTTGAAACACCTCAATGGACGTACAGCTGTCTTCAGACAGTTACAAGTAAAGTTTGTTCAATATTTTTTTCAGTTTGGTTAGAAACTGCAGTGAAATAGTAACCAATGACTAGAAATTCAATCAATAGGTCAGAAATTCAAAAATGTGGTTTTGTCGATATGCATACGTGTAGCATTCTACCCCAGTGATGACTTTTTATGAATCAAAATATATATGACTGAGTCAAATCTAGATGAAGAATCCTAGGTCAAACCTATCTTGACTGAAACTATTTCATTACAACGTAAAAGGTACTTGGTAGCATAGCAACGCAATGGCGTTAACAAACAAACCTGCATCGTTGTCACGTTTTAGGCAAGAGTATATTGAGCATTGCATATCACCCAGAGCAACATGGACGCTGGCCCCTTGTGGAATCGTATACCAGTCTCTCTGAAGACGACCTACTTCTGTCCCGGGAGATACTACATCGGGGAGTAGTGGAGTGGGGAAACCTGCTCTCTCGAGTCTAATGAAAAACAAAACAACAATTGACCAATGTTATGACTGAAGTGCGGTGTATTTGTATTGGTGTTTATTGTCAGGTGAATTAAAGGTATTGCCCCTAGAAGATATTGTCCCTGTTTGGAATGCCAATATACGCAGAATCATAGATTAATACGTATGTATCTCTATACTAGAGGCAAAACGAAACTCTCGGAAAGGGGTACCTTAATGCATGGCTGTAGAAATGAATAAAAAGTGTATATAGACTAATAACCATATCCCGTGTAATATTTCGACAATAGGGAGTTTAAGCTAGCAATGTTTTTCACAACCTAAACGTGAACGGAAAACATTTAAGCGATGCATTTGTATGGGCGATTGGTCACACGAATAGGTTGGCGTTTCGATTATATATACACGCTTAAACTCCATATTATTCCCAAAGGATTCTCTCACATACCCTTACAACCCGAAGCCCAGGTATACAGTAATGAAATAAAGTTTCTTGTGTTTAACGTCCATCTTGTATTGTTACATCCATTATTGTCTATGTGCATGTCAATAATCTGCATGAGTATGTAGCTAAGTAGTAAAATACATTTACATATACACTCGGTATTACCAACATAGTACACAAGGGGATTTTTAAACATTTTAAAACTTATTCCAAGGCTTCAGCTTTACAATGTGAAAATGAAGTGTTAACAAGTAAACGCAATTATAGGCCTCTGTAAAATAAATAGATACGTGACACTTACATCCCTAACACTGACAGTTATGTAAATAGTGAATATGAAGATATCAGTTTATTTGCATTCGTTGCATTATCGTCAAGGAGGAGAGCTGCTCAACAAATATAATCAATGAAATCGACTTATTATGAGAACCATTATGATAACTTATTGATTAACCCTCGTATATATAGTTTGTAAATATTTTACATGGCTGTGTTCCAGGATTGTGAAGACGTATTGTAATAACCCCAGCTGGCTGCGTTGTGTTCAGACATCACGGGATTGTGCAGGTTGCACAGCATTGCAACCACGAAGTCTTGGATTGTTCCGGCACAATCATAACTTTGTATTGTTTCTCGGCTGTGTCTTTGGAGCCAGAATAACGTTGCGCAACCATAACCTGTTCAAAATTCAAACATACACATCATAATCAACTTAAAATTAGTACCAAATGTGTGTTTATTTTGACTAATGCTACGTAGTTTGGGTTGACCTAGGTTATCTTCATCGCAAGGTTGTTTTAAAATAATCTTATCATTAAGACATATGAGAAGTATCTCACATAACTCAATTGTGTTTCGAAGCTACGTGTAAGCATCCTTGGGTGGTAAAGCCTTATAAACAAAGGGAGTGCGCAATATTGCCAATCAATAGTTACTTAACATTAAATGATCGTAGAATCGTGAGTAATCAATACTAACGTACTACTTAATGATAAAATCGATTTGTGAAGTAAAATCGATTGCCTTGAAATAATGTTTTTCATTTTGTGAAAGAAATGATGGTCCCACAGGGATTATGGTCCCCTTTCTTAACGGCCGTTACTGGCCCTGATTGCGTATAAGATAATGAGGGAAAGTGTTGTATTTAGGTCACCATATAAATCAATGAAGGGTAGGACCATAATTTGATAGGACCTCCTACCCTTTTACACCTGGCGATATTTTGCTATCTTCTAAGTGCCACTTACTGAGGTTGCCTATCAACACAAACTGTATGTACAGTGGTAAGCTTCTACCAATCAACTCGGGAATCAACTGTCCATTATAAGGGCCAGTTATCATGAGCTGCATATATTATTGTTGTATATCAGTTCATTTGACACCCCTCAAAGAATTATCATCAAATGATAAAGGCTATAACTGATATAACATATAGTAGGCTAACCATGCCCGCAATTTTCTAGATATGCCCATGAAACCAGTAAGTGGTGAGTTTGGTACTATCAACTGTTCATTATAAGGGTCAACTAACCTGAGCTACATGCTCATGTGCAGTTGTCCTGACACCTCTCCCAGAAGTATCATCAAATTACTAGGCTATTACTCATCAAGAACATCGATTACTAATAATTAGAGATATGAACATTAAGTAGAATGTATGTTTTTATGATGTCCGAAATTTTCTGGACACGCCCTTGCCCCCAGTCTATTCAATGGCCCTCTCGTGTAAGATAGAAATCAAAGTACGAAATATCCTCAAGATGAGACTGTACTGAAGTCGAAAAAGAATATTGCTTACCTGTTGAGATGGGACAGTTACTCTCTGGTGAAGGCAACGTAGAAAGAAATGCTTCATCGCACCTCCCATCTTGCCATGTGACTAAATTACTCGTGCTTTTACACTCAATATCAAACCGCTTGTATTGTGCATTATGTTTCCAAGCACCGTTACGTTGCCAAAGCAGCACACCGTGCATCTGGCCACATATTCCAATGTGTTTAACATCTAAAAGATCGTGTTTTGGTAATGCAGATAGACATATTTGGAGGGAAATTATGATTTTTTGAACGTCCTGTTCATTTGCAAGATATTCCCGATCTTGACTGGTCTGAATGTTGGCTTCTGTGTTCCGGGTAGCTTCTGCTATCACTTGATTGCCCGATGTATCTACAAGAGCGACTTTGATCGAAGTAGTGCCGATATCTATGCCTAAGACGAGCGTTCTCATTTTTAGTTTACTTCCGGTTATATGTTTATGTTCTGCCTAGTTACGCTACTGAACGAAATACATAATCCCGGGGTAATTTCAATTTTCAATATCTACAATGATCGCAAGTTATGTATTTACATTTGCTAGGTTATATTACGTGTAATGATCGAATGCCCCCATGACGCTGTATGTGTTACCCTTTGCTATGTGCGACGCACTTTAATCAACCAGGGTCGATGATTTACTATACTAGCTGAATATCGCCAGCATTGAAATATCATAACTTATGCGCCTATGGAAAAACGGTTGATCGTGTTTTACACAAATTATTTTTATCTACCTTGGATTCCTCAGCCTATACTTAAAAGTCAGAGCTAGTCAGTGTTATCAATGACGACTCTCTCAATCCTTTCTGAAAATATGAACTAGGGCTAGTAGAGTTAATATATTTACATAGATCACGCATAAAGATAAACATGATAAACATGTTGTCACCAAATTGATGTTTTGAATAAATATACAATGATTTATAACTGCCGCAAATACTCAGGGCCTGGTTTGTTCGCCCCTAAAAATATTACTTTATTTCCCAACCTTGATTATTTGATAAACACTATATTGATTTGTTGATCGATTTATTTATTTTATATTGATTATTGATTTATTAAGAAAATATAAGTACATGCAAGGAACAATATGAAATCAAAAGAATAGTAATCCGACTACTGTAATATCTAGTATTGAGAGAATTCCATTCCATTAATCCCAATGCCTGCACTTAAAGTGTATATTTTGCAATTGGGACACATGAATCGTAGAACTATAGGAGCTGTTATACCACACTGCAGTCCCGGTGTGAAAGAAATTATGGTCCCCTTTCTTATTGGCCCTTACTGGCCCTGATTGTGTATAAGATAATGAGGGAAAGAGTTGTATTTAGGTCACCATATAAATCAATGGAGAGTAGGACCATAATTTGATAGGACCTCCTACCCTTTTACACCGGGACTGCAGTTTCGGCATTGTCCCTTTAATAAAACGACCCGGTTTGTTCACTGTATACATCCAGAGTCATTTCACTTGACGTTACTTCGAAATCTCTGCTGTTTGATGCATCATTTGAACTTACAGTATCCGCAGCGTGCAACGCATTCTTACCATCGCCAACATAGCGGCTAAATGTATCTTGTGATGCGTACATAGGGTGTGTTTTACCCAAAATAATATCCATATTAGTAAGCGACCCGTTTCCGTGTTCCTTGCTGTTCGAACCAATATTTCGTCGATATGATTTTGAAATATTCGATTCTACTTGGCTTGATCCACCTTTCGATAGTGGTAGTTTTGGTAGTGCTCCGTGTCGTCTTTGTTTCCTTGTCTGATTATGATTATTCCCATGCTCAGAACGTAGATTTCCGTTCTTGTTTTTATTTTTTATTTTGCTATATATGTTTATCGCTAAAGTAGGGTTTTTGGTCTCGTTCGACATTTCCTTTGCGTTTCTTGGTGAAATAGCCCCGTGTGCGTTCCTGATATGCCCCTGTAGTTGTGCTATTGTCTCTATGCGTTTCTCTATATCACCAGGGTCGTTTGGTACATCGATTGCCGTGCATGATAGAATCTTAGTGATATCTTGAGTCGAAACATCATTTGTCGATGGCTTGCTTAATTTCCTCCTTGTGTTTTTTACCTTTGTATCTGTAATATTTCGTTCAGTGACGTAACCTCCACCATTGCTATTCCACGACGATATATCAATGTTAGAATTAGCCGCTGCTACAACACTAGCATCGTCAGGAGTTTGTGCTCTACGCTCATCAGTAGTCGCTGTAGAAATAAGTGTATCTTCGCGTTCAATGGCTTGGTCCTGTTTACTGAGTTGCTGTGTTTTTGTTGTCACCTGTAATGATCTAACTTTGCGTGCTAAGCCGGGGAAGTCCATACTGTCAAGTTCATCGACATCATTGTTAGTCTCATCTGACGTAATTAAATTGTCATCGGAATAAAGGGGAGTAACGAATGCACGTTCCCTGCTTAAAAGTTGAGTTCTCGTTCTGATCAGTTCTCGAAAAGAAGCACGTGTGCTCTCTTTAACAGAAATCTCTGCACTTTGAATACGAGTATTTATAGCAGTTTCTTTAGAGTCACTGGTTCTTTTAGTCACATCTTGTTTGCTGGTATCGTTATTTTCATTTGTGCTTTCAAAAGTATCCATTTTGTCATCAGAATTTGAGCCTGGGAAGGTAGCATTGCTTGAATGCATTTGTTCTCCGGTGTCTATTTTATTCTTCGGATTCTGCTCTGGATGGATATCATTATCTGTATTTGTGTTTCCAAGGTCTTCAGTTTTTGGGTCTGAAGAAATGCTATTTTCAGAAGTGCTTTCTGTTTTCCCGTTTACAGTAAGTGGTGTTCCACGTATATGAATTTTAGGCTTTGGGTAACCAGTTTCGTACTGGATTTCCTGGTTTATTGGGATACCAATAGACTTGTGGATCTTTCCTCGTTTCCTTGGGGTAGCATCCCTGTCATCGTCACTCTTATTATCGATTGCAATTGGTTCCTTTTGTGTTTTAGTTCCACGAGAATTGTCCTTAAAGTCCGTGTGGTTAGTTACCCTTCTATGAGTACGCCCATAATCTGGAATATCTTCGCTTCTTGTAGTTTTTTCCAGGTTTATAGTTTTAACTTTCAGAGTGTTTTCTCTCGCTAATGAAGTCATTTTCCTTTTAATTCTAACTGAGTTTGTCTTTTCAATTTCAATAACCGTTGTGAGATTAAAAGTCTCAAAAATTGGTAAAACTGATTTTCTTATGATAGGCTATCACATTTGTTCGTTTTGATTTCTGAATTCTTCTGATCTCTGGATAATCGTATTAGGATTTAGAATAGTTGGTCGAATTGATATGTTAATGTTTTTTGGAGTGATCAAGTCTTTGGGGAGGTATTTCATTACGTGTAAATCCCTTAACAATTACGCCTATCGGCATGTACATAATTGTTCATCCATATGTGAATCTACAAATGGATTGGGCCTAAAACTTCATCTCTTATAATAATAAACTTCAATATAGTAACTTGGCCAACGTTAATCTGTTAATCTCTTTTTTTATTGAGCCAACGTATAATACACACGCGTTCAACTAAAGTGGAATTTCTTAGTCGCACGAGTAAATGGAAAACTATGGAAAACCACTAAGCAAGGTGCATTTTTATATATCATTAAATATTTTGCTGTCTATAGTATTCACACATATTTTTTACGAGGCTTCTAATCTGGAATCGCAATAAGCCCCGATGGAAATAAATAGACTATTCATTTTAGAGTGCATGCATTTTTACATCAAGGCGTCAAATAAGTACAGGGTGTTCTCTAAGTAATGGCACTAGGTCTCCCATTTCTACAGTTTTTAACCAATCTTTCTAGATTTTGCACATATCATCTGGCATGTACTAATGAGTGCACATACCAAATTTCATGTCTTAAGAATAAAAATAAAACAATAAAAATGACAAAATGGGAGACCTAGTGTCATTATTTGGTGAACACCCTGTATGTACTCCCTTTAGCTGTAACATCCACATCATGTTGAATAACTTATTTGTCTGCATGAGATCTGAATTCTTTTCTCGGCCCAATGAAACTAGGCTTCATGGAGCCACGAGAGGGTTTAGCTCAACTAGATGCACTTTTATGCACAAAAGTTCATACTTTTATACTATTGAAATTAAGGGAGAAGACATTTATTTTTCACCATGTTCAGCAACAGTAAAACGAAAATTGTCCGCGTCTGTTTTGTTTGTTTTGCCAGGAATGCGTTTCTCTTCTGCATATCACGTGACTTTATGTCACGCCATATACTAATATTGGAATTTAATTTCTGAAGCAGGGTGACACTGTTCCCTGTTTATCAACGAAGTAGAGTAAAATAACATTAACAAAACGATGCTGAAAAAGGTACCCAGGTCTAGAAATCTTTTCCCCTTCATCCTCTAGTATAACGAGGACCATACAAAGCCCCGGATGTCGTGCTGTTTCACTTCGTTTGGTACGCACATTAAGCTCATGGTATTAAATAAACCCTTGGAAGATTTTTAATGTTTTTGATAGTACATGACTGGATATCGTAATTTAAAGATATACATCACAATATTATTTTTTTATAATTTGCTAAGCGTATGGCGCCATTAATAATATGTTTTCAAATTCGGATGTTGAAGTAATAAGTACAATACATGTATCATTTGCAAATCGTATGAAACCACGAAGGTGCTCGAAAGAAAGCTTTAAAACGGGTTCAATCTTTAGAATCTGAAAATATGTCAAAATTGATTAGCTACTTGGGTCAGTCAAAAATATTGGCTAAATATAGTATCACAATTATGATTGGTTATTGCATTATGGTTGCTATGGTAACAGAAGCGCGGGATAGGGTTCAGTTAATAACGCAATGTTTTTATGTCACATTCATTTCATTTGGCATCAACTCATTTAACAGTTATTTATGCTGACACAGATGATGTTGGGATGAAAATGTGATGAAAGGTGATTTTGGGGAAAAACGTGTCAAATAGTGATTTTTCTAGCAGGCTGCCAAAGAGGAAGCAAAAAATTGATACAGTAGGTATAGGAGTCCAGGGAAACATTACAAGAGACATATCACTTGTAAAAGGTGATTTTGGACAGGGTGCTCCAAGATACAAGGGGCTATCCGTATATTCTGATAAAAATGCTCTCAATTTTTGATTTTTCACATATTTCTCTCATATTTCCAGAACATATAGATTATGTTATTACACATGCAATGCTAAAATATGATAGCTTTATCTCAAATTAATTTAGAGATAAGGATGCCATGGTAACCTGGATTAAGGGTAGGCAGGTCAATTAAATCATAACCTATAAAATATCATCATAACTTGTTACTTTAATTATTTTAAAGCACGCGGAAATCATACATTTTTTCTAAAAGAGTTGGGTATTGTTGCTCTTTGTTTGGTGCTAAACAAATATTTATTTATGCTCACTATATAATATCACAACAGGTCAAAATAGCAATATATGACAGAATGGGCAAATAAGCATAACTTGTCATGAGACACACCAAATATCAAAATGTCAGATAAGGCTAGTGTGGCTGATGCGGAGTGTGACAGTAACAGATATATTAGGAGTACCATTACATATATAATTTGAGATGCAATTAATAAAGAGAGAACTATCCGATTGTGAACTATCCGATTGGCTGAAATTGGACAAACCTTTTCTAGCTATGTGTGAAAGCATTTTAAATTTGACTACAGAAAACAATCTAAAAATAATTCCTTTTGCAACATTCAACATATGACAGATTACTATCTTGAATATTATGATCTGATGAATGATAAGTCGTCATTTTTGAAAAATGCAATTATTCAAGTACATTAAATAAGTTCATAGTCTGGTAATATGAAATCCATTTATTAGTGTTCATTGTCACAGACTTTATTACAATTTTTTGTTTTAGACGTTTCGAATGTAAACTGCATCCATGATCACTGAATTTAAATTGAAAACAGTTGAAATGAATACAGGTAAATTTACTATTACGTACGTCTTTAACCTTAAAACGTCAAAACATAATTGCTATGGTAATATAATTTCATCCCACAAGTGATCCAGATTGAAGTTGCCCATGTCTCTATTGAAGTTTTTATGTTTTCTAATGTGAATGGCTTCTCTTATCAACCTATTGTTTCTGTTCCTCTATCTCTGTGCTAACTATTTTATAATTGTTCCAATCAATTTCGTGGTTATAAAGTCTGTGACAATGAACACTAATAAATGGAATTATTCAAGTATTTTCAAACGTTTGTCCAGAGTCTCTATAAATAATGTTGATGTTTAACGATTTGATATATAAAGTCTCGCATTGATATAAGGATATGATAATTGCCAGAAGTAGACCTAAAGTAAGGAGATAAAAAGTCTAAAAGCGTAGACCGGCGATTTAATTTGAGGATATAGATAGTCCCATGGGATAATAAGCCCAGTAAGAAAATAGTAAACCCAAGCCTATTCACTAACAATTCAACGAGGTTTTTATCCAACCCAGACACATTAAGGTCTAAAATATTTGTCAGTGCCAATTGTCGCATCACATGTGTTATATTAAAACAATAAAAAATCGGGTAAAATTGATAACAATTGCCTAATATATCAGATTACATATAGAATTCATTTTAATACAATCAAGATTAAAATAAAAATATATCGTAGACATTAAACGACATATGGTGAAGTAACTATGTATTCGTGCTCAGAATTCATTTTAACAATTAAAATATCGGGTGTCCCCCCAAAAATTAGACACTTTTTGCCAAGTTTTTCTCTGCAACTGATGAACTAAACTCACTGAGAATTTGCAAAAATTAGCCTGAGAGTATCATGAGCAAGTTGTAAAATTATAAGAAAGATCAAGTAAATATTCTGCGAGAAATAAGAAATTCAAAACAGCAAGTCAAAATTTCCATATCGGAGCTCTGCGATGAGACCTCTATAGTGTTTGTGCGGCATTTGTTAATAAGTCAAAATAGCTTGTCTGTGTGTCATGTCTACTTAATTCATTTCATTCTTCCCAAATACCCGAAATTCATTCATTCTCAAAATTCATCGGAGGTGATATTGTAAGAATAAATACAAGAATAAATACGGAAAGGTATTTTGCTTGAAAAGGATTAATAAGTGAGATTAACATCGATATTGGTTATTTTTACATATTGTATTTAATTCAACAATACACACGTAATAGGAAACCAATCTCTTACATATTCATAGCACTAGCAGAAGATACACTAATGTGCCCCAAGTAAAGTTTTCAAATAATTTAGCTTATCTATTTCTGCGAAATTACTTGACGTCAAATTGCTTCCCATTTTTGGTACAAATGCGATGAAATTCTCATTGCATTGCTCCGGTATGGGATATTTTGACATGCTATCTTGAATTTATTAGTACTCACATAACATTTATCTGATCTTCGTCATATTTCTGACCTTGCTAATGATACTCCTGGGCTGTTTTCTACAAATTTTCAAAATATTTGGTTCATCAGTTGCCGAGAAAATACTTGGCAAAAAGTGTCTCATATTTTGGAACACCCGATATATAAGGGTTATGTACTGGGAGGTTTTGGATATGGGGTTTATCCAGAGGGAGATATGCATGTCTACCCGAGGGACCGTAGGGACCGAAGGTAGATGTGCATATCTCAAGAGGGATGAACCCAATATCCAAACTGACCGTACATAACTGCTTTATCCTATAACAAGTAGTTTTCATGGGCATATGGCCATTTCAATAGTTCAAGTTGTAAGAATAAACAAATCATTCAAATGCAAAGTCATTTTATTGCATTACCGGAAGCGGGAAGATATGCACCGGAAGCGGGAAGATATGCACCGAAGCGGGAGATATGGAGGTTCTGGATATGGAAACCTCAAAATCAGGATACGGGATATATCCTACCAACTTATCTCCCTAAAACTCTACTTGGCATAGGATAAATGAACATATCTTCAACATTAAAACAAACATATGGTGGAGTCTTCATGTAGTCTGGCGAACTGGAGTCAGAAAAATAGCGATTACCGTCCCATCATGGTTTGGAAAAGGTTAGAACATGCCATTTGGGGAATTTAGACTTTCTTCTCAGATTTGTATCTGTATATATAAAGCTTGTTGATATAGTCAAGTGCCATACTTCTGCAAATGTTGAACATAATAAAACCGTTTTCATGCATTCTTCGAGAGTGAAGTGTTTTTCCACTTTACCCTACTATCAAACCAAACAAGTTCTCACGTCGTTCTCGAAAACGGGCTTAAACTGTACAAACGGATTGAACGTACTTAGAACTGTT